TAATGTTTCCGAACAAATTCATATTTCTTTTTTTTACCTCTCTAAAGAAATATTTACAAAACATCCTAGCATTATTTGAGTTAAGAAAACATTACAACAGTACATCACAGTTTTTTTTTACTTAAATCCATACACCATGCTTACATGTACACAGTTTCATTACATAGTACAGTACTCATGTCAGTACTCTGACATACAATAGTACAACACAGTACACAAAGTGTGTACTTACAATATTGTTCACACTAAAACGTGATGTGCTGTACACGCGTTTGAACAATACAAACTTTCACAACACACTCTAAAATTTAGCTCATGGTTCCAACATTGTGAATGTAATAATTAGTTCGTTTCACATAAGTAACGAAACAGAACTGTGCAATACTCGTCATTTGTTCCATTTTTAGGGTAGTCGAAGAATATACAGTCCTGGTTTTGGTAGTTATCCGGTTGACCTGTAGTGAAAAAAATGAACACGTGATTTCTGGAGGTTTAAAATAATTATTGATCTTAAAATTATTTTTTTAAAGTTTTGTTTTACATGTTGAGACACTGTGACCTTAATATGTTTATTATTTTAAAAAAAAACAATACTTTAAAAAAAATATATTTTGGGGGAAAAAAAGGAATGTTATTAAAATGACAGTTTCGTCAGTGCATCGGGACATAATATCCCCGAAATATACATATGACAATACCCCAATCACCCCCTCCCAATACATACAAGTAGACATACACCTCCCCAATTAAAGCGCGAACATAACACAAACACAAATACATACACAAACGAAAACAAAATCAAACGCAAAGACAAACCCAAGCACAAACACAAGCAAAACACAAACACTATAAAAGCAAACGAAATCAAACACAAATACAAATCCAAACGCAAACACAAACCCAACCACAACCAAATCAAACCAAAACACAAAACACAAAAAACACAAACACAAAGAAAACACAAACGCAAACAAAGTGCTCATATTCTAGCCCGGGGCGCCAAATCGCACCATGCTGAGGCGCCGGCGGAATCGCCTGATTCAACTTAGTAAACGACTATAGTACCCCAACTTAATCTTAGTCTTATGCGCTAACTTAAACGAACGTAGGCGACATAGCAAACACGGTAAGGCCCGGGGCGCCAAAAAAACACTCTGTCTGGGCACCGAAGGACGCTCGGATTCGGCTCAGTTAAAGACTATAGATAAAGGTAAACATATAGGACATTTAGGAGCTTTTGAAAATATTTGTGTTTATCTAATGGAAACTTTGAAGCTTTAAAACATAAACACAGCTCTTAAAAGAATTTTTTTCTTCGATCTTGCCTTTACAATCGAGAACATAGAAAACTTTACACTGCTAAATGTAATGTTAAAACGTCTACTTAAAAAAAATTACGCACTATGGTGAGGTAACCAAAAATCCCCTTCGCGCGCAAAAAAAAAGATCAACAAAAAAAAAATTCCCAAAAAAAAAAAGAAACCCTGCGGGAATTCCCGTTCCCGAATAAAGATGTCTTTTGTTACTTCACTTGTTTTTTAATTAAAAATAATAAAAAGAAAACAGTACGTTCAGTGCATGTAATAAATAAAAGGCAGTATTAAAAATACCAACAACATTGCACTTGATCAATCCCCGCTAATTATGTAATTATTTTTTCCAACACCATATATATCTTCTTGTATTTTGTTGCAGGTGTGTATAAAAGAGCTTTCTGTTGCGACCGACAAAAATGATTTCCCATTCATGCGCCAAAAAAGACAGACAAAACGAATGCGCAAAAAAAGACACAAATTATAACATGCGGGAATTCCCGTTCCCAAATAAAGATGTCTTTTGTTACTTTACCTGTCTTTGATTAAAAATAATAAGAAGAAAATAGTACGTTCAGTGTATGGAATAAATAAAAGGCAGTATTAAAAATACCAACGACATTGCACTTAATCAATCCCCGCTAATTATGTAATTATTTATTTCCTTACACCAAAACTTATTAATAAAAAGTAAATTCTTTCTCCCCCTGATTTAATGTTTTTAAAACTGTTTTCCAAATCAAGGGACGAAATGAGCGCTAAATGACTAAATGCAAATACATTTTAGACACAATTAGAAATTTTATAAACGTTGATAAGCTTTTTTAAAAATTGTATGTAATATTCATAATTGAAAATTATAATTCGAAGTATGAAAAATGAAAATTGTTTTTAAAGACTTTCAATATTAATTTTTTAACTCATAAATTTAGACCATGAGCACTTTAATAATCTAACACTTGAATCCATGGAAGTATCGTATTTTCGTATAATCCTTTGTAATCCACGGTTAAATACAAACATACAGAATTGAACTTTATAAAAACAAACATAAACACCGAATTGAACATACCAAACTTTCATTTGCCGCTAAATCGCTCACACAGCAATCTGTTCGTCACCCCCCCCCCCCCCCCTACCCCCCCAAAACACACACTATAAATAGTAACACATCAGCAGTTAGATCATACAGCACAGATTTTGACGCTTGGCTTGCCTTAAACACACACAGACACTCTCTCCATGGCTCGTCAGACACTCTACCGCCACCCCCCCCCTCTGCCCACATTACCCTCAGATATGATAACCCCACATCCCTTTTAACTGTTCCAACGACCCCACCACCCACCAAAACATCATTTTCGAATATTTATTCATTTACTTATTTATCTATTTTTGTAATTCACTATTGTACAAATGTAAACGAAATCTGTGTAAAACAACTAATTTGTGTGTGTGTGTGACTACTCTACTGGTTATTCATTTTTCTTTGGTATTTACTATGTTTATTGTACAGAATGAGATGAAATCCATGTAAACTAGCTTTGTTTTCGACCATTCTTCCATACGTTATACTCTTCCCCCACTTTTGTTGGCAAACATTTCACAAACCAGCCTCTTTTCAATTTTTGAACTAACAAGCTTTAAATTCAATGTATCTTTTGTATGTATTTACATATTTCGCTATTTATTTACTATACTCTGTACACCAATGTTACTAACTTGTAAATATACACCCCAACGGCGTGGAATGTTACTGTATTTGTTTTAAATTGGAAAATAAAAGTATTTTAAAAAATGAACTATATATATTATACTAATAATATCCCGCACTATTGTGCACATTTTTTTTGGCAGTTCACTTTGTGTGCAATTCTTTTTTTACGAGATTCTATTCTATTATAAAAGTTTAAGTAATTAAAAATGGATTAAAAATATTGGCTATGTCCCGAGTTGCATACCCCCGTAATGTTATATTAGAATATTCGAGAAAGTTTAGGGGAGATCACTCCCTGCTTATTAATCATTGTAACAAATATTTTTAAATGCGTATTATTATTTTTTTGAAATATTATGTTCTTCAAAATTATATATTAATAGTGAAACAGCTCTACATATGTCACTGTTACTAAGCCAAATTGAAGCTCAGTATGAAGATTTGCACTGTTTCATTACTGGTTTCTTTCGCCAAAGTTGTCTCTGCACAAGGTTAATATATTCTTACAATAGATTTAATTATTATACAATTAATTTTTAATGTAATTTTAATAAGCACTAAGTCTGCCAAATGGTTGTATTTTATCTGCTTAGAGAATTGTTAATGTTTAGACTATGTTGTCAAAAAGAAAAAAAAATCAATTGTGAGGAAATAAAGGTTGGCTAATATATGACTTCATGTTAAGAAGTGAGAGATGATTCAGAATTTTCATAACGATAGGAACACGAACGGGTAGTTAAAAATGCTTAAACTGGCATATCATAATTTAAGGACAACACCTTAGTTTAAGTAAACTTTTTTTTCTGAATTAATAAAAACATTTCAGTGACGTGTATCAACCCACATGCTAAAGTGTTTAAAGATAAGTGCTTTGAAGTGTTCTCAACTCCAATGTCTTGGCATGATGCTGAGGTAAATCTTTTCGTTGTCTATAGTTGTTTAACTAAATCGGGTGTCTCCAGGTGGGGTAATTTAGGGTGGCATCTCATAGTCGTCCGTTTACATTTCGATACGATGTCACCCCTCATCAATAATTTTAAAATATCATTTTAACGTAAAAAAAATATTGTAGAGCACTTTCGACTTTTACTAAATTTGAGATAGAATCACATGTATAATGCTATCAAATGGTACCGTCTAACTCCTGCCCCATAATAGCTTTTTATACAATTGCTTGTCTATCCTTCAATAGTCGTACATACTATTATATTATAATTTGAAATAATAAATGTTGTTATTCTAATGTAAGCAGAGAAGAATACATTTAAATATATGATCTAAAATAAGCGACACAAAACAGACAAAATATTGTTTCTTGTATTTAGAGATACTGCTCAAGATTTCTCGAAAGAAGAGCACTGGCATCCAGAGGCGTAGCAACCCTTCCCGGCGCCCGGGGACATATTTTCGATTTGCACCCCCTCCCTCGAACTTTCAATTTGTTTTTCCACCCCCCCCCCAATGTCGGCGCCCGGGGACATATGTCCTCCCCGCCCCCTATAGTAATTCGCTTATGTTTAGATATCCCGCAGGTGACCATGTAAGCTGGAAATTTAAAAACTACGAACCGAGCCGCGACTTGCTATTTATTGGTTTTATTTTCCACTGTTTAGCAATTCACAATCTGTGAATTCGAAGCATGCTTTTCAATTTTTATGCAACGATTTGTAATTTTCGCGACAGAAAAATATGATTCGGTGTGCTTTATAATTTTTCTAGAGACCTTAAAACTAATCAGATATTCTTGATAGTCATGTGTGAAAACCGAGAATAGCAACCAACTAAATGAATACAATTTAACGCAATATTTATGTAAGTAAAACGACATTTAAGCAAGAAAATAAAATATAATTGGTATAAGCAGCCCACTAAATGATTTCGATTTAGCGCAATATTTCTGTAACGAAAACGACATTTACGCAAGATAATGAAATAATGACATTAAAAAAGTGTATTACAACTTTGCGTGTTCAAATTTTATTGTTTTGATACATTTAGAATATTAAGATGTTATTTACAGTGGATTTTTTTTGTTGTTAATTTTATTGATCGTGTGTCCAGTGATATTCAGATCTTAGATATTTTCCATTCAAATACAAGATGACTCATAACGCTAGAAGGTAATACGTTGAGATGTGTTGTAGCATTTAAGGAAGAAGCAAGCCTTGTCTCTCCCTAAAATCAAAGGCAGAATTTCTAGAATTTAATTAGCGCTAAAACGGGCATTGATATAAATTGTACAATTATATTTGAAATTTCTCTTTAAATCTATTATTTTAAATATTGTTCATTTAAAATAAAAAACATATTTTACCCCTGAAACATTCGAGCAGATTCAAGGATCAAAACTGTTAACCCAAAGATGAGAATCTCTGCAACTGTCTTGGTTGAACTCCCGTTGCTTGAGTATTCTATGAAAGATGAATATCTTTTTTCGCCAACTGAGGGCATAAATACGGAAAAATTATTTCACAAGAACTAGAAACTTCATCAAATAATTAAAATAATATCAAACAAACTAGGTAGCATGAGCAAGTAGATGCGATCTCAGAAGAAAAAAACATTATTTTAACTATATCAATCATCTTGTCCTACTTCTTCGTTCTTAATTTTAGTGTTGGAAAGGATCCCCTCCAGCATAATTAAGTATACGTGTCAACTAGTTATGCGCCATTGAGGCCGTTATCTCCGATTTGAGCCTGCTTTTCTTTTTGGATTTCCTTCCATAACCTTTGTCCAGCCAAGAATAAACTACAGGGCAGCAGTTGTTTTTGTTTATTTTGAGGTTGATTTATAGTTAACTTGTAAAACATTATTAATGAAGGTAATACTAAAAAGCGTCAAGTAATTTTTTTTCGGCACAAATTATTAAATATAAACCTTTTGAAAATTAATATTTTAATAAATTATATCTCTTTAAAAAAAACTGAATCAAGAGGTATATTGGTCAAATAATGCGGAATAATATGTTGGGGTGGGGGAAATGAGTAAATTCTTACCTGCTAAATAGTGGCACCTGTACGTGAAACGTGTTGCATCATCCAAGTCAAAGTAAAAGGCACAACAACAGTACCAGCCCGAGTCTAGGACATTGGCGCCCCTGATGTCCACACCCAATACTGCGTGATCCTTGTTGATTCTCAAGTTGGGTCCTAGTTGCCTTGAGCTATAGCTCAAAGTCCAATGTTCCTTGCCTGCAGGTTTGGACGGTCTTAGACTTGGCTACTAGGCTCGAGAGAAAAAAAATATAAATATTTTGGAATTAGCTTAACTATTTATAGTTAGTGGTCTAGAGGTAGAGAGCTGGGCTGCTAACCAGATTTGTCTGGATTATGTGTTTGTGTATCTAGCGAGGGTTGTGGATTAGGCAAAAGCTAAGTATTATTTATGAAAACATAATATGTTGTTATAAGGTTAAATAATCTTTCTTTAAATATGCATTTTTATCAATTTTTTAAAAATAAATATGTAGTTTTATTTAAACGAAAACTAGTGTTAAAACATACACTTCCTGCTCTATTTGTTGAATCAACTTCCATTTCAAACAACAAAAAGGTGCTCGGATCGTAATCTTTATTTTGCCAAAACAGCGTCATGTTTTTTATATATTGCGCTGGGTCAGGAACTCCAGCAAGGCTAGGGACACAGTAAATATCCACGATATCATCTACTGGAACTACACTTGGTTCCACTAAAGCTTGATGTACAACTGGAAGGTTAAAGGGGATTAGCCTAAGTTTTGAACTCATCATTACATATATATATAGTATATATATATATATATATATATATATATATATATATATATATATATATATATATATATATATATATATATATATATATATAATATAAAGCTCAATTCTGTATGTTTGTGTGTAAAATGCTTGTCGTGGATTATAAAGGAATATAAGGAAAAATTAAAAAACAACGAGACCTCGATGGATTCAAGTGTTATCCTGTGAGCGCTATGGTGCATAATTTCGCTTTAAACAGTGCGATAGAGTATGGATAAGAAAGGTTACTATAGTCTTTAAGTGAATCGAATTCGGGCGTCCTCTGGCGCCCAGACAGGGTGCTATTTGGGGCCCTGTGCATTCACGTGTTCGGTTTGGCGCCTACGTTCGTTTAAGTGAGTGCAAGAGACTATGAATAAGTTGGGGTATTATAGTCGTTTATTAAGCTGAAACTGGCGATTCCGCCGGCGCCCCAGCCTGGTGCGATTTGGCGCCCCGGGCTAGACTGTGAGCACTTTGCGCCTATGTTCGCGTTTGTGTTTCTTTGTGTTTAGGTTGGGTTTGCGTTAGTGGTTGGGTTTGCGTTTTGATTTTGTTCGTTTTCGTTCTTTCTTTTTCATTTTCGTTTGCGTTTTTTTTTTCTTTGGGTTTGTGTTTGTATTTGTGTTTGTGCTTGGTTTTGTGTTTGTGTTTGTGGTTGGGTTTGGGTTTGTGTTATCGTTTGTATTAGTGTTTGCGTTTATGTTATGTTTCCTTTCTTTATTTGTGTTTTGGTTTTAGTTGGTTGTGGTTAGGGTGGGCAATGCCGGATATATGCTGATTACAAAACACACATTTCATGGTCCTTTACAGATAGGTTTTTCACAGGGGCCAGAGCAGGGCCTGGCCGGGACGGCTAGTATATATATATATATATATATATATATATATATATATATATATATATATATATATATATATATATATATATATATATATATATATATATATATATATATATATATATATATATATATATATATGCTTGAACACTACATATGTAATATCATGCTAGTGAAAATACAAGACTGTTTAGCAGCCTAGGTGGGTGGTGTGTTCGTGTACAAATAAAAATAATAAGACAATTTAGAATGGGCTGATTTCTTTCTTTCATACTTTACAGATAAATTAATTAATGATTTAAATAAAAATAATCTCTAAACTATATTTTATTTAGTTAAATAATTACCAAATAAAATGACCAACTATGTGTTAACAACAAGTACTTGCAATAACTTAATCAGTTTAATGATTTTTTTCCACATATTTTGAGATAAAGTCTTAGAATAGTTAATAGCCGAAGAAAAAATAAAAACTATCGGTTACAAGTAATTCAAACTTTAGAAACATTTTATATATTTCGAAAAAGTGTGATACCATTTGAGAAAAAAAAAATTTTAATCAACTTGTTAAAAACTAAATATTAATACGTAAATTGTACTTGAATTTGAAAGAGCTTTATGATTTTTGAGTTTTAAGTACCAAGCACGAATATAATACTAATATACAAACACAGCACATTCCTAAAGTGTTCAACCAACCTTCGAAATCTTGGCAACGAGTTGAGGAGTCTACACCGTCTAGCGTAAAGAAGACACAGGTGCAGCAAAACTCACCATGATCAGCGGAGGTTATATTTATAATATCGACCTCCAACCTGAACGTGGACCTTTCGAAATATCCAAAACTGTTCTTGTGGTAAGTTCCGTAATATCTAAGATACCAGTTATCTTTTAAGACACTGATTCCAAGACCCTGTGATAAGATGTTTATATATATATATATATATATATATATATATATATATATATATATATATATATATATATATATATTTATTTATTTAATCATTCATTCATTCATTCATTCATTCATTCATTCAATCATTCGTTCGTTCGTTCGTTCGTTCGTTCGTTCGTTCGTTCGTTCGTTCGTTCGTTCGTTCGTTCGTTCGTTCGTTCGTTCGTTCGTTCGTTCGTTCGTTCGTTCGTTCGTTCGTTCGTTCGTTCGTTCGTTCGTTCGTTCGTTCGTTCGTTCATTCGTTCATTCATTCATTCATTCATTCATTCATTCTTTCAATCGTTCGTTCGTTCGTTCGTTCGTTCGTTCGTTCGTTCGTTCGTCGTTCGTTCGTTCGTTCGTTCGTTCGTTCGTTCGTTCGTTCGTTCGTTCGTTCGTTCGTTCGTTCGTTCGTTCGTTCGTTCGTTCGTTCGTTCGTTCGTTCGTTCGTTCGTTCGTTCGTTCGTTCGTTCGTTCGTTCGTTCGTTCGTTCGTTCGTTCGTTCGTTCGTTCGTTCGTTCGTTCGTTCGTTCGTTCGTTCGTTCGTTCGTTCGTTCGTTCGTTCGTTCGTTCGTTCGTTCGTTCGTTCGTTCGTTCGTTCGTTCGTTCGTTCGTTCGTTCGTTCGTTCGTTCGTTCGTTCGTTCGTTCGTTCGTTCGTTCGTTCGTTCGTTCGTTCGTTCGTTCGTTCGTTCGTTCGTTCGTTCGTTCGTTCGTTCGTTCGTTCGTTCGTTCGTTCGTTCGTTCGTTCGTTCGTTCGTTCGTTCGTTCGTTCGTTCGTTCGTTCGTTCGTTCGTTCGTTCGTTCGTTCGTTCGTTCGTTCGTTCGTTCGTTCCTTCCTTCCTTCCTTCCTTCCTTCCTTCCTTCCTTCCTTCCTTCCTTCCTTCCTTCCTTCCTTCCTTCCTTCCTTCCTTCCTTCCTTCCTTCCTTCCTTCCTTCCTTCCTTCCTTCCTTCCTTCCTTCCTTCCTTCCTTCCTTCCTTCCTTCCTCCTTCCTTCCTTCCTTCCTTCCTTCCTACCTACCTACCTTCCTTCCTTCCTTCCTTCC